GGTTGCTGAACATGTACAGCTCACATGGGTGCTGAGCTGAGACTGTGAACACGTAGACAGCTAATGTGCCTTCTTCCATTGTCAGAGCATAAATGATGAAGAAAAACTGAGCAGGCTCTGGGGAAAGAGGGTGGTGATTTGGAAACCTGGGACCATCTCCTACCTTCTGATGGACACAGCAGAGCCCTGAAAGAAGTGGGAGACTTGGGAAGGTGTAGACGTGTGTTGTTGATTGAATGTGTTTCCCTTCCCCAGATTCATATGTTGAAGCATTCACTCCCATCTGATGGTTTTCAGAGGTGAGATCTTTGGGGAGTAATTAGGCTTATTTGAGGTCATGAGGGTGGGACCCTCATGAAGGTGTTAGTGTCCTTGTGAAAAGAAGACACCAGAGTGCATCACACACCCCCTCCATGTGAGGACTCAGTCCTCAGCAGGAGCTGAATTCACTGGCACCTTGATATTGGACTTCTCAGACTCCATAACAGAGTGAATGCCTTAATATATATCTGCTGGTGCCCAAGTCTTAGATTACCCGGTTTTTGGAACAGTGAGGACGAAATGTCTGTGATTTAGGCTGCCCAGTCTGTTACTGTAGCCTGAGGTACAGAGACACAGAAGGAATAATGAGGTCAAGGCCTCTGAAGGAAGGAAGGGCTTGGACCTCACAGGAAGAGCAGGAGGGCTGTGCATCAGGAGAGGAGATGCTGAGGAGGGGCAGGAGCCGCCTCAGGACGAGGCACTTGGGGATTTTCCGCTTGGGTCCATTGATCATTTTGCAGGGTTGGGATATGATGTAATCTGATTCTCATTTTAAGATATGGTCTTGGCTTGGTGTAGAAGAAGGGAGTGAGGATGGTAACAACGGGAGTGCGGTGACAAGGAAAGAGTTGTGAGAAGTGGTCACAGGTGGGTGTAGTTTGAAGGCAGAGACCATGTGATTTGCTGAGGGATTGAATATGGAGATAGGGAAGAGAGGAAGCAAAGGATTGCTGCTAGATTTTGCGGGGCAAAGCCCTAGAAATGGGTCAGGAAGAAAAGAATGTGCATGCCTGCGTGCCTGCGTGGTAACCTCAGCTGAAGTCTGAGATTCCATTATGTAGCCTGGTGAGGCAAAGGGATTGGCCAGGGGACTCCGGATTCAGGGAAGAGATCCAACCTGGAGATCACTGTTTGTGATTCACCAGGAATAAGGACAGTTGTCTGTGGACTTCTGTGGAATTCTCGATTGACTTTACTGTGTGATGATGATGACAGTAGCATTGGAGGAAGGAATGAGCTAAAATTGACCTGAATTTATGTTTATGATAAGCTAAGTACTTTATGTGTATAATCTCACTGAATCTTCACAATTCCTTTATATCCTCATTTTACAGATTAAGGAAACTGAGGCACAGAGTGATGAGTCAGTCATCATGATTCATTTTAAGAAGTATTTCATGGTGGGGTGCTGGTGACAGCCTGTTCCCCAATAACCCACTAGGCTACCTACCTGTGCACACCAGACTTTGGGACTTAATCCTTTGCACTGATGCATTCAACAGCTGGGTGTTATGAAAAAAAATCATGGCAGACGTGAACTCGGACAGCACAGATTCAAGTACAGACTTTATTATTTATGGGATGCTTTGTTTAGGGAGAACAGAGTTTGCAGGATATCTTCCAGGCAAAGTTTTCTCACACCTGCTGTCTCTGCTTTGCCATCAGCTCCTTCTCCCTTTGCCCACCAGCCTAACCTCTTCTAGCCAACTTTCATTTTCTGGCCGTGCCAGCCTGATTACTTCTAATTGTCTTCAACTGCTTCCAGCTGGGTCTTGTAGCTGGCATTCTGCAGGAGCACCAGGCAGTCTCTCCGCCCTATGGAAAGCGGAGACGGGAAGGAGAAGGGGAAGGAAGAGGCAGCTGGTCCAAGTCAACTGAGACCATTTTTTTCAGGCTCTCCAGCTCGTTCTGATTGGTAATGTTTTCGTAAGGGTTAACTCCTCCAAATTAGAGGACAGCCCCTCTTTGATAAGACAAATGATTGTATTTGTTGATCCCCAAAGACAACCAACAATTTAACTAAAAATGTTTTTTAGAAAGTGACTACTACTGTCTCCCCCAGGACAGTAGGGTCTTGCTGTCTAGAGCAGAAAACTTCCCCGAGAGCCAGTGAATGATCACCTTCATTCATTTATTCAGCAAGAATTTACTGAACAATGACCATGTCTCAGACACTGAGCTAGGTACTACAGGGCAAATGCAAATAAAATGAGACACAACCCCTGCCTTCAATGAATCTAAAAGAGGAGAAAGACATTCATAATAAGCAGTATGTAAGAGGCAAGACTGTGAAATGAGCACCGTGTGGTGAGAAAGACCAGAGAGGCAAGAAGCTCCCTGCAGCTCACTGGCTGGGCAGGGATGCATGGGACAGGGAAGGAAATGAGCTAGGAGGAAACAGGTCAGAGGCAACAGCCTGGGGAGAGTATGACATAGGTAAAGTCTGATCTGGACAAAGGTAGCTGAAATGTAATGCCCTGAGGGACCCCACAGGAGCCTGAGGCTAGAGTTTAGTATGGGATAGGTAGTAATCTTCAATGCTGACGACTGCCATCCAGGCAGACATTTCTTACACACCTAATAGGAGGGCAACACATCGTCTTGTGGACTGATTTATCTTGCAGAATGGAAGTTCTGAAATCATTCCTTATAAAGCAAGACCATTTCAGAGAATAGGACCTGAGGTTCACAGACCAGTTACTGAGCCCAGGCAGAGGTGGGATGTGGACTTCTCTTTGGCATCAATCCCAGCTGATGGAATCAGCAGTGAACTTGAATCAGATCCAGGCAGCAGGCTTGAAAAAGATTTAATGGGCCTGGATTTTTTTTTTTTTCCTCTTCTTCATCCCTTTCCTGACTTCCACCCTGAGAGGATAATTAAAACATTAGAAGGAAAGAAAATTGCTCTATCATTGTAAATGACTTCTACCATTTGTGTGGAGCATTTTGTCTTGCCATAAAAGCTTTGAACAGTTTCTGAAATTCGCCTTAAACCCTAAATCTCTAAATTTTTGTACAGAGTTAATATTCTAAATTTAAAACAATTCAAATTAATACATCTGGGAAGCACCACAACCTTTCCTGATGGGATGCAGAACGAGTTTGACTGCGGAGTGAGCTCTGTATATACTCCTCTTTCATTAAACATTTGTCGCGCATCTACTCTGCTGGCCTTGTCGATTACTGCTCCTTCCCACGTTACTGTCCCTTTAAAATCTGACTACTGAATTAGACATGAAAACAATCGAATGAGCTCTGTAGAAACTGTAGAGGTAGAGTGAGGGTAAAGACGTCCCTTAAACCCCGCAAGAAAAAAAAAATTAAGATGTGTCTTTAACGTAGGAAAATGGGCACGACGCTCTGACCAACAGAAAGCACAAAGCGCTCAGTCATACTATTAAGGCTGGTGACTTGTACCGTGTGCGTGGCCCAAAGTAGCATATTCAAAATTGCCTCTATTTAAAATAGAACAGAAGTGTTTATTTTGAGTCACTTTTCAGAAGGGTCAGGGAGCCCCCAGGCCTGGATTAATGACAGCTGTCTGCGCCCTCTCCCATCGCAAAGCACGGAGGGGGACCCAGGGTGCCATGCTGGTCCACCTGGGAGATAACAATGAAAGGAAGTTCGCCAGGACCGCGGCCTCCCTTTCAGCTCTGATGTTGGAGCCTCAGAGCCGAAGTCTGCACCTCAACAGGTAGCATTTGGCAAATGCCGCCCGCCTACCGACGCTCCAGCCTCTCCCGGACAGGGTGGATGTGGGGGATCCTAGGGACTATGCACATAAAGTACTTAGCGGGGGATCCTAGAGAGGTCCGATGTCGTCAGAGCCGCCGCAATTGTGTTCGCGAGGGGAGCACCGCCGTGAGCACAGCGCTCACAGAACAAAAGCAGCGAGGAGCGGCGAGCGCTGGTCCGGCTCATCCCGCAGTCACGCGCCTCATTTCAGGTGGAGGCGAAAAAGGTGTAAACGGCCCGGGCTCCTACGCTGCCGCCGCCGCCGCTATTACCCTCGCGGCGGCCCCTCCTCCAAGACAGCAGCCGGGTCTGCGCGGGAGCCGGGGCACACGCCCTGCCACCTCCCGGTCCTTCCTTCCACCCACCCACCCGTGTCCATCCATCCAGGGCCCGCGGGTCCCACGGTGTGCCGAGCTCCCAGCCCAAAGCACAGTTCCCGGGCTCTAGAGCTTCTGCCTCCTTCCCCACGCCCCGATTGGGTGCGGCTGGCGGGGCACCCCGCTGCGGAAAGGTCCAGAAAGCCCGAGCCCGGGATCAGCGCGAGCCGCGCAGCCGGAGGCGGCCTGACCGGGGCGGCCCGGGAGCGCGCGTCTCCGAGGCCGCGCGGGGTCCTCCGGCTGGCGCTCAGGTGGCTCCGCCGCCCACTCCGCCCTCCTCCCGTCCCTCCCCTCTGTAGCGAGGGTCGAGTTTGGCTGCTGCGCGCGGGGAAGGAGGGGCTACGAGGGATTTGAAAGTGCCCAGGCTGCCGAGTGGAGCTCGCATCTGTTCCCGCCGCCCGCCGCCGGATTAAATTTCTGCAAATTCAAACTGAATGGGGCTTTCTTCTGCTGCCTTCCAGAGGGCTCCTGCAGCCCGCCGCGCGCTCCTCTCGGGCGGGAGCGGCCGCCCGGCGCACGGCTAGGAGCGACCGACCAGACCGGAGCCCTTGCGGGCCACACCGCGGAGCCAGAGCCAAGGCGGCGGAGGCTCCAGGACCCCGCACGAGGTCGCGCCCCTCCCGGGCCAGCGCGGCTCCCCGCGCACCCGCGCAGGCGACTGTCATTAGCCCCCTGGACGGGACCCGGGACGGGACCTCGGAGTCGCGCTAGCGGTCCAGGCGACCCTGGGAGGCAGAACTTCTTGGGGCGGGTCCCGGGCCGCGGCTATTGTCTGTGCGCCGCGCTCCGTGGCGCGGGGGGCGTGAGCGTCCCGGATCCGGGCGCGGGGCGCGGAGAGACCCCAGGCGGCGGCGCGCGGAGCCGAGGAGCCGAGGAGCCGGAGGAGGAGGAGGAGCAGGAGGTGCTGAGAGCGCGGGAGCCTGCGGACGAGCGCGATGCCGGCGGCGGCGGGGGACGGGCTCCTGGGCGAGCCCGCGGCACCCGGGGGTGTCGGCGGCGCGGAGGAGGCGGCCAGGCCGGCGGCGGCCTGCGAGGGAAGTTTCCTGCCGGCCTGGGTGAGCGGCGTACCCCGCGAGCGGCTCCGCGACTTCCAGCACCACAAGCGCGTGGGCAACTACCTCATCGGCAGTAGGAAGCTGGGCGAGGGCTCGTTCGCCAAGGTGCGCGAGGGGCTGCACGTGCTGACTGGAGAGAAGGTGAGCCGCGGGGGTGCAGGACCCCGCCCGCCGAGAGCCCTGGCACCGGAGCCCCGCAGCGCGTGCCCGGGCGCCCCGCTCTCCTCTGGTTAAAGAGGGGTCGAGCCAGGCTCGCGCGCAGGCCCTGGCAGTGGGTCCTCTGGTGTTTACTGGTGGGTGGGCTAGGGTCAGTTCTCGAGGAGGGTGGCGGTCGGGGGGCGACTGATTTACCCGCGAAGCAGCCTCGCTTAGCCTTTCTGTTTTTAGAAGGGCGCCGCCTGGCGGACACCAGCGCGCGCGGGGGGGGGGGTCGAGGCCTAGAGGTTGGGGTGGGGGCTGCACTTTCTCAGCGAGCGGGAGAGGGGGATCGGCAGAGAGGCGGGAAGCAGAGCTAGAGGACACGGGCTCTTCTGTCGGGGGTCGGGAGAGTCCATTAGGCCGTTCTTGGGGTTGCTTAGACCTTCCCAGGGGTCTGGGGAGAAAGTGGGGGGAAGCCTGAGACCCTAGAGCCATTCTTCTCCACCCGGGGGCTGGAGCAGCACGGGAATTTTTCCTGCAGAGGAAGGTTTCACACATTGCACGACAGGGTCCGGCCCTGGATCTGTACTTCTCTCCGTTAACCCTTCCCCCACCTGTACCCCACTTTCTCCCGCAGTCTCACCCCTAACCATTTTCATCCTCTTTCCTCCTTCTCCCCAACCCCTCCATGTCCCACCAGCCCCTGGGAGGGAGCTGCAGTAGACTTTGCTTCTGGCAGGTGCAGAACTACCTACAGATGCCCCCAAACTTCAGAAGTCAGGAGATGCCTCCTTACGTTGCTAGAAGAGGGGGAAAGCAGAGGGGACCCCCTTACCGCGAAGACCTGGCGGGACACCTCTGTAGCCTAATCAGCAGTTAGGTGGCCGGGTGCAGGTGGATCCCAGTGCAGCCTAGGTCTGTGAGAATCAACACAAGCTGTGTGGCTGACTTTTGAGGCTGGGTCACCCCAGGCTACGAGGCTGTCCCAGACGGAGTTGGCCCACACTAGGAGCTGTTTCAGGCTGCCAAGCTCAGGTCATCTTAGATTCAAGACTCCCGGCAGGTTGGGGGCTGCTCACACAGGAGTGGGGAAGAGGGAACTCGGGGCTTCCTACCTGAGCAACAGCGGCAGACAGGAACCTTCTGCCCTCTGCCCTGGAATCTGCTGCACCTCAAGACTTGTGGTGACAGAGACATGCTTCCCTCTGTTCTCTTGCCTCATCTTACCTTTAATTTCTCTCTAGTTTCTCTGCTTTGTCCTGGAGGCCCCTGCCTTTTGGTGCAAGCTTCTGTCACCCTGACCATTTGCCCTGTGCCTATAGCTGTTCCCGTTAGGGTACTCCTTTCTTTTAGGTAAAGTGCCTTTGGCCTGAATTTCCATGCACCAAGGGAGCAGTCAGTGTGAACTCCCTTGAGTAGCTTCGTAAGAAGTAGCAAACCTCTCTCACCTCATTGTAGTGTAAAGGGAGTAAGCAAACCACACTTTCTTCCTTGCTGGCAGCGGGCTGTCTGCAGTGCACTTCAAAGTCAGTCGGTTAGGGTGCCTAGTGAGCTCACTTATCCTGTCTGGGTGGAAATAGGTGCTAGAAGTTTATTTGCATTTGAAATGTAGAGGATATAGGCTGGTCATGCATATTTCCTCTCTAAAGGCAGCAAAAAGAGGTGAGTATGCTGACCACACAGTGGCAAACAGTAAGAGTCCCTGCATGCCGCTCCCCCACCCCACAGCTTCTCATGGCTTCTCTCTGCTTTCTGGCCTCCGGCAGTGTTTCAGGCTCCGCACCCCTCCCTGCATTTTTGCTCCTTAACATAAAGCTCTTGGCCTGGGTCGAACTGCCTGGGGACGTATTCAGAGCCCTATGCTACCACCCCACCCCAAACGCAGGGAATTATTGCCCAGTGGGTTCCAAAGGAAGAGCCTGGTGACCTCCTATTTATCTTTCTGAAGTGATGAGTCTCATTTCATGTTTGCATTGAGAGAAAGTATTGATGTAAAATGATTTCCTCAGGCCAGTTGATTTGGTCTAGTTAAGGACTGTGGTTCTTAGCGGGGAAGAAGAGGCCAGGGGAGGATGTTTATGTTGGAAAATTTGGTTTTCCTGCTATGTTTTTCTCCAGCGTGAGAATCAGTGGCCCGGGACTTCCAGCACCGGGAGAAACCTAGATATTAGTTCAGTCAATTGTGGGCTTTAAAGAAACAATGGTGTCATTCATGGTGTTTATCTCCCGAATCCAATATCTTTAATGCTTAATAGATGTGGGCTAATAGATGTGGGCTGTAGCAGATTGTAGAGATTAGTGTGTGTGTGTGTGTGTGTGTGTGTGAGAGAGAGAGAGAGAGAGAGAGAGAGAGAGAGACTGTGCCTGTGCTCGGGAAGGGTCACTGGGCTAATGAGTCCGCATTCCCACTCTTGTTTTGGGTATGGCCTTAGGGAGCAGATCAAGGGGAGCCCTTGATGTAAAAGGAGCCTGGAAGCCACCTTCTCCCCACTTCTTGCTTTTCTTGGGGTACATGCTTTTTGGATAAAGCACTTCACTTTGCTCCTTTCCTTTCTTTTTGAAAGGACAGACTATAGGAGAAGGCAAGTAAAGTCATGAATATAAGAGTGAGAAATAGGTGTGGCCTCCCCAACCCACCCCACCCTGAAGGATTGCAGGCAGCTTGTCTTGGGAAATCAGTTCATGAAATAGAAAGGGATGATGAGGGGGCCCCAGCTTTTCTGTTTCATGGCTGCGTTCTCAAACAATACTCTTTGTTTTGGGTGACTTGTGTCAAAATCCAGAGTATTGCTGATTGAAGTCTGCTGGCAGTGGTGGTGCACGTTCCTGTGTGTGTGCACGCGTGAGCTGGTGGGCGTGTGTATGTGTGTGTGTGTGTGTTGCGTTGTGAGTTAGTGGACATTTCCAAAATGCTTTGGGCAAAATCCTCTGTGGTTTGCCAGGAATTACAGTCTGAGACCACATGACTTTCAGGTTTTGATTCCATCTTATCAAGAGGCTCCTTTTGCCAAAGGGACACTGTTGTACCTGCCTGTCCTCTGAAGTTGTTTGTTTGGAAGTACTTTGAATCTAGATGGCCCTTTTACTGCTTGAGAGGATGGCTTTGGGGTGAGACCTAATTTTGTCCTCCTTCGCCTTTGAGTTGCAATCTTTGTAAATCTGACTTGAAAAGCACCATTCGTTAGATTATGTGAAATTCTTAATTGATATGTTCTCAGTCAGGGACTTAACCAAGTTGGTGTTTTAAACTGGGGAAAAGATCACAGAACTAGAATCTGCAAAGTATCACTGTGGCTTTGAGACAGAGAGCAAAGTTACTAGCAGGGATGTGGGCAGAGATTCGCAGAGGCCCTGAGAGGCTGTGTACGTTGCCCCAGTGTGTTCCTGATACCTGTGACATGCACAGTACTTGGTACACAGAACGTAATCTTCACATTTTAAAAAGTCGATAAAATGTAGTTGGAAAAGCTTGGTTGAGAAAAGTGTAAGTATATCTCAGGTGTAGAGCTGGTTTGGTAGAAAGGCAAGAAACAAAACAAAACAAAAAAACCCCAAACCAAACCCCGGAACAAATAAGCAAATAAAAAACCCAAACTGCATTATAAGAACAAATGGTCCCTGCCATCATTACCTTCCTCTGTGATTAAGAGACAAAGTTGGCTACATAAAATGATTAATTAAGATATTTAAATATCTTGTTCTCACTCAGTTTTTTTTTTTAAAGCATGTTTATCACTTTCATTAGAGCTATTTTTGGGCTAAAAATAAGGGTTGCCTGCTTAGTGAGTTGCCAGTAGAATACGACAGAGCCAGATACCTGGAATGAAGGAGTTACCAAAAATACCATTTACTATGTTTTGCAGAGCAGGAAATATGACTAATTTTAGAGGTGGCCTTTTGGCAGATCCATTTTTAGCAAGTGTTTCAGAGACAAACAGGTGCTAAATCCTGTATTTCTAAGTGCTAGAAACTTAAGGGGTAATAGCTCTGAGGAACAAGACATGCTTAGAGAACTGGAAATTCCTATTACTCCTCAGCAGGGACTTCATGCAAAAAGGAGGCGTTTGCAAAAGCACTTGCTCGGTGTGTCCCAAGTGGCAAGGCAGTGCCTATAATTTGCCAGATTGCATGCTGCAGTTTCGGGCACATTCTTTTGAACTTCCTGCCTGGCCTCATCTTTTTGAAGTACTTGGGAATGATGGAAATTGGCACATAGGGCTCGGTTCCTACTGTTCACTGATAGAGGTCCCGTAAACTTCAAAGGGTGCTTTGAGTCAGTACAGCCGTGCAGAATGATGGTGCCCACGAAGAGGAGTACAACCACACATTTTCTCTGCAGGTGTTGAGTCACAGCTGTAGGCTCGGTGCTGTACACACCAATCTGACTGGAGTCTGCGAGGCTGCAGAGTTCTGCAGCTGCTGGCCGTTCCTGGGTGGTGCAGCTGTCATCTCTCCCAGGGCTGATCCTCCCAGAGGTGATGGGGAGTAGTGGCCACATCCACTCAAGAGATGGGCAGGCTGAGTATTCGTGGGCAGGTAGTTGGGCAGGAAGTATCATTTGCCTTGGGATGTACACCTCCTCTCGATTATTCCTGGTAACTGAGAGACTTGCTCTTTTGGCTAATTGCAACCCAATTGATGAGGCTTATTTTAGCTAACTAGTGGAGCCACTTCCTCTCCTCAGCCTGGGCTCCACTGTCTTCAAGTGCAGATCTAAATTGAATATTTCATGCTCTGCAGGGGGTTGCCGCTGGTTGGTAAGATGACCAGAGGGAAAGGAGCTGCAGCTCAGGGCCTGAATATGACCCGACCCGTGTAGGCTGATACCTTGTCAAACTTGACAGAGCTATTGTCTCTCTTTTATCATGAATCCCAGCCTAGTGGTATTGTGTTTATGGTTTAGTCAGGATCTTCCATGCATTTTCTCATGAGATGCTGGCAACAGCCTTGCACAAGTGGGAACCAAGTTGCTGTACTCTTATCTGTGCCAAGTAGAAGGGTGA